TCTAACTAACGTAACCAACTACTCGCTACTACTATATATATAGTATAGATATTATATATATATATATATATTATATATATATATGTAGTAGTATATATATATATATATATATATATATATATATATATATATATATATATATATATATATATATCTTAGTTAATCCCTCAGGATAACTTGTAAACATAGATGTTATTTCCATTTTGCAGATAGGGAAACTGAGGCTCAGAAAGACTGAGTAACTTGCCTGAGATCACCCAGCTAGTACCTGGTGCAGTTCTATCTCAGCTTGTATCCCTTGCCCACCATGGCCTCCCACAGTGCTGTTCTGCCTGGACATCCCTGCCAGGGACACACCTGATATGCAGCAGTGTGAGGTCTCCATTCTAATCCTGGAAAACTAGGTTTCTTAAAGAACGTCTCACTGAGGGTGAGGCTGAGACCTCCAAAACTGCTGGAAAGTCTTATTTCATCCCTTTTTGGTATAAATGAATCCCAGATCTTCCTGTTCTCAGTACTGTGTGGTACTTTCAAAAATCTGTCCACATTATTTCCTTGACATTTGCTCCTTCATGAAGTGGAATTTAATTCCTCTCTCTCCCTGTGAGTCTGAACTGGACCAAGTTCCTGGCTTCTAATGGGTCACTATGGCAGAAGAGACTGATTTCTGAGGCTAGGTCCTACGAGACATGTGGCTCCCTCCTTACTCTCTCCTGGATCACTAAGTTCAGGAAACCAGCTGCCATGACATTCAAGCAGTCCTGTAGAGCCCCATGGAGAAAGGAAAAGGCCTGACAACAGCCACATGAGTGAGCCTGGGAGAGGATCCTTCAGCCCCAGTCAATCCTTCAGATGATCACAGCCCCAGGTGACATCTTGATCACAACCTCATGAGAGCTCCTGAGCCAGAACCACCCAGCTAAGCTGCTCCTGAATTCCTGACCTTCAGAAACTGTAAGATATACAGGCTTGTCATCTTAAGCTACATTTTGGGGCAATCTGTTACACAGCAATATGTAACTATGACACTCTGGTTCTACTCACAAGGCTTTTGTGCAGTACTGTTCCACCTTTCAGAGACCCAGTGGATACATATTCACTTCAGTAAGCACCACCCCAGCCCCAGATTCTCACTCTGGTTGGGGTGCTGCTGCGGGCACTGGCCTACCTGACTTGTCATGGACGATGGAGAAGAGGATGCGCTTAGAGGCATGGACGTTCTGAATGAGAGGACCACCAGGCCCGGTGGGCTTCTGTCCTGGACAAGGAAGCAGAAAGGTACAGGTTCGAGGTGGGCCCCAAGAGGGGTTCCCCAGATCCAGCCTGAGTGCACAGGCTGGGGCTTTGGGGTAGCAGTCTCACTCACCAGAGAGAACCCAGAACTGAGCCCTGTGATCACGAACTCAAGGCAAGTTCCCTGATCAGAGGCCTGAGACATTCTTGAGCAGGGTCTGCTCTCCAAATGGCAGATGAGGGAGGGCAGGATGTCCGAGCTCACCTCTTCCAGGTGGGGACACTGGTTTTAGGCAGACAAGTCCCACCCGCCTGCTTAACCCATACATCTGTGGGGAGGGGGGGAAATGTCCTTTTTTCTCCTTCTCAGAGTAACAACAGCAAGTAGAACTTAATAAACACCTACTCTGTGCCAAGCACAGGACTGGTGCTTTAATACAGCAGTTCTCAAACGAGCACACACGGGAACCACTTGGTGGACCTGTCAATTTGCAGGTGGCTGGGCCTCCTGCTCCAGACTCAGCAGGACTGTGGCTGGGCCCGAGACTGCATTTCTGACATGCTTTGTCATTTAATCATGATAACAACCCAGTGAGGTAGGTGCTGCTGGCATCTCTGTTTTACAGATGAGGAAACTGAGGCTCAGAGAGGTAGAGATTTCTTCTGGGACACACAGCCACTATGCAGAAGGGCCAGGATACGGACACAGGTCTTTCCCATACCCAGCTGTTCCTCCTTACGCTTTCAATACCCCTAATCCACACTGGGTATGTAGCAGGTGCTCATTAAATGCATGTACCTGATTAGCATGTCTATTCCCTCCCTAGATTCCTCTGGAGTTCCCTCAGGCAACTCTTTGTCCCAAACCAAGGACACTGTTCATAGACGACTGGGTAGAGGCTCAGGACCTGACTAGGTCTAAGTCAGGACACCATCTGTCCCGCCCCAGCCCCTCAGTTCAACGTCCCTCTTTAGCCCTGGGAAGCTGCCCCTACATGAGTGACCTCTGTCCCACCCCCAGACTCAGAGGTCCCAGCAGCAGCTTACCACAGCAGTCTGAGAAGTCTTGGGCACCAAGGGCCTTGGGCTCAGGCCCGGGCCGGCCGAGGCCCAGGTCACTGGGGGCAAGCGGGCAGGCGGGCACCTCCTGTTTGAGCTCTCTCACGGTGTGGTTGGGGAGGGTGGCGTTGTACAGGAAGCTGGTCACAGAAGAGGAGGTGGCGGTGGGGGCGAGGTCCTGCGGTGGCCCCTTGGGGGCCTGGCTGTGCAGGCCACAGTCCCGAGACCCCTTGGTTATCAGGGAGACACCATTCAGCTCCACCAGGGCCTTCGAGTCCCGCCCACCATCCTCGAGCGGCCTGGGTGAAGGAGAGGACACGTGACAGCTTCGTACACCTGTCCCACCAGTGGTATCTCTTTCCGCAGTCCTCCCCCTGCAGAACATGATAGCCTGTAACGTACGCAGGACAGGAGCTAGTCCCCATTTTACAGGTGGGGGTGGAGGCCTGGGCAGAGGTGTGACATACTCAGGGCCATACAGCTGGGCCACCGGAGGACCTGCGCCCTGGCCCTCAGCCTCTGTGCCCCATGTTCACCAATCACGTCCTTTCAGCACCTCTGACTGTCTCCCATCTCCTATCGCATCCCCTCTCTTCCTGGCTTGTGCAGTGGGTGTGGTGCCTGAGCACTGCTGGGCAACCTTAAGCCCTCAGGCTGGCTTCCTGGATGCCCCAGCAATCGGTACCCTCCCAGCCCAGCCTCCACGACCTCACTGCCCATCAGTCCTTAATGGAACCCTGGGTTTACAAACTGAGCCGGCACACACGGTGTGGCTCCCCGCCTCCACACTGTGGCATGAGCTGTTCCTGGTACCTGGAGTGCTGCTGGCGCTATTTTCTCCCCAACCAAGCCTCTCTGCAACACAGAAGTCCACCAGGAAGGCTTCTGTGACTCGACACCTGGCCCAGAGCATGCTCTATGACTGAGTTTCTGCCTCACCTCCATCAGCAGACTGGGAGCTCTTACAAGCAGGGTCCCCTGTGGGGGTCTGAAGTCCCCTCCCCTCGGCTGGATAGGCGGCCATGAGTGGCCAAGCCAGCATGGAAGTGGGGCATCGCCCAGCCTGGCCCTCAGGGTACAGCCACCAGGCCCCGGGCAACTCCCAGGCTGGCCGCCTCACTCACCTCTTGAGCTTGAAGCGGATCCGGTGGCTGTGCTCCAGGATGGCCATCAGGGCCTTGGGGTCATACTCGGCAGGTCTCCGGAAGGCCAGGCCCTCAGGCAGCCCCTGCACGGCCAGCAGCCCCGGCTCCCTGAGCAGCCTCTCGTAGGGCAGCGGCACCACGCTGGCCCTGCCCAGGGCCTCGCCTGTCGGGGAGGGGGTCGAGGAGAGGGCTTAGAATGAGAGGGCAGCCGGGCTAGGGTAGGGGCTCCTTGGGGTGCTGGGTTCCCAGGAAACTGGACCCCACGGGCCCCTCAACTGCAAACCTCATGTAGAATAACCCTCTGCGGGCGGTGAGTGGGATGGATGCGGGCTGCGGACCAGGCCCCGCTATGGGCACCCGAGGGCAGGGCTGCCCCTTCGAGGAGGTTCCCTGCCTCCCTCACCATTCTCTTCTCCAGGCATCTGCGGGGAGGGGAAAGCAGGACCGGGGGCCGCAGGCAGGAGGTGAGCAGAGACAGGGGTGAGAGAGAGAACAAAGGGTGGGAGGGAGACTGCAAGAAAAAAGCCGCAGGGAGGAAGGGAGAAAGAGAATGAGAGAGGAGGGCAGGGAAGGGAGAGAGAAGTAGAGAAGAAACAAAAAAGGGAGAGAAGACAGGCTGAGAAGATGGGGAGCATGAGTAAAGGGCGAGAGGAGGGATGGCCGAAGGGCCTCAGCTCACGTACATCTGCTGCCCCCACCTAGAGCCGGAAAGAGGCCCCTCACCTCACAGCCACCTCTGACTCTGCCCGAAGCAGGCAACGGGGGTCAGGGCAGAGTGAGCTGGGAAAAGGGTCTGCGGTGGCACAGCCAACCAGACTTGACAGGTCCTCCCATCCCAGGGGGGCAAGCGTGCCCACCAGGACCTCCGGGCCCACACCCCCTCTTGGCCTCCTCCTCCTGACATCTAGACACATAGACATCTAGGGGTTTCCTCCCAGACCTCTGCTGCACAGAACCAAAGGCTGTGGTAGGGAAAGGAATAAAGCAAGTCAGAAATAACGGGGTGCAGGGGTGGGTATAGCCCAGTGGTACAGCACGTGCTTAGTATGCATGAGGTCCAGAGTTCAGTCTCCAGCACCTCCATTAAAAAAAGAAAAGAAAGAAATAATGGGGTGGGACCTTGAGAGCAGAAGGGACCTGCCTGAGGTCACCCAGGGAATGTGAAGGCCAGAGACTCTGCAATCTGACATTTCCTAAGGGAGGCCAGGCCTGCCCCCATCTCCCTCCCTATAAGAAGTTCCTTAGCTGGCCAGTTAGCCTTCACTCAGTCATTCAAGAAACACCCTCTGAGCACATGCTGTTGCTGGGCCCTGAATTACAGGCGAGTAACAGCAGAAAGGGCAGGCACAGTCCCAGATCCTGGAGAGCAACTGGGCTAGTGAGGGTACAGGGCACGGTGGGTGCCCCGAGGGGGCCCTAACTCAGGGCAGACACTCAGGGGGACACGCTTTCTGTAGCTGAGCCTTACATAGCAATGCAGTGTCCACAGACAGAGGAGGGGAAGGCTGGCCCAAAAGGCACAGAGGAGCAAAGGCGAGGAGGTATGAAATGAAGCCAGAGTGAACAGAACAGGAAGCGGGTCAGCGTGGCTGGAGGGGTGGGGGGGATGGGCTATGTAGGGGCTGATGCCATGCCCCGGGCATCGGGGAGCCCCTGAAGGCAGTAGAGGGAACAGCTTTGTGGTCAGACTTGTGCTTTGGGAAGATGCCCTTGGTCACAGGGCAGGTGGGGGCAGCAGAGAGCTGGCCTGGAGGCGAGGAGACCAGGGCAAGCCTGGGCCATTTCTAGGGGACAGGTGCAGTGAGCAGGATCAGGGCAGGGATGGTGGTTCAGGAAACGGGGCTGGGGTGGCAGATCCACACCTGGGGAAAGAGAATGAGGGAGAGCAGGGCAGAGGGGAGGCAAGACCCACGTCTTGAGGTTTTGCCCAGGGCCCGTAGTGGGGCAAGAGGGGGCCTCCTCAACTGGGCAGGTCTGGGCCTGGGGCTCCCACCCACCTGAGGGCCCCAAATGGAATGAGGAAGGATCTTACTATAAAGAACATCAAACACCTCCTCTACCATCTTCCGCAGAAGGTACACGTCCGAGCCATGTTCCAGGGAAGACCGCGGGATGCTCCGGCTGCCACCCTCACCCCGCGGCACCTTCTTGGGGTGCTCTGCCTCCGGCTCCTTCCATGGGGACCCTCCTGTGGGACACAGAGCATGTGGGACCATGGTGAGTACCCATCTCACCATCTGCCCAGTGAGCTGGGATGTCCCTGCCCCCTGCTAAGCCCTGCAAATGAAGTGCAAATGAATGAATGAATGAAGAATTAATGAGTAAGCCCTGCCTCAACTACCTTAGGGCCAAGGCCGGTCACTTCAGAGTTCCCAGTGCCCAACACAGGGCATAGGTCTCATCCCTGGTCACCTCTAACTCACTGTGTGACCTTGGGCAAGTCCTTTCCCTCTCTGGGCCTTAAGTCTTTGAGCTCTCATGGGAGACCAGATGGCCTGGCTCAGAACTGGGATTCAATGAATTTCTGTTCCACCACCCATCTCTGTCTTAACCAGTCGAGGCCCTAGTTTTCTGCTCTGCCAAATGGAGAGACAATGGGGACCCCAAGTCCCCTTTGGAGGCCAAGGGGCTGCAAAGAGAGGTTCATGCCAGGCTGGACCAGGCTGGGGGCCTGGGAGTTATCAGTGGATCCTTGGGTGGTGAAGATGCTAGAAACTGCTTTGTAAAGTGCATGAGAAGAGGGCCTGGAGGCCCCCTCCCAGCTTGGAGTCTGCTCTCCTCGGGGACCTGTGAAGCTTGAAATAAACCAGCCGAGTCCCTGGTGCTATAAATAGCAGCTCTGCCTGGCTCTGGGAAGCCAGGTGCACCTTCCCCAGCCCCAGCCTGGCTCCTAGCCTGGTGAGAGAGGGCCACAGGACCCTGCCACTGCCCACCCTTCCCTGACCCAGGCCCCTGCCCAACCTTGGAGAGGATACAGGTTCTGAGGGCCGAGTGGGAGAGGCGGACGGCTGGGGAGGCGGCGGGACCCCAGCAATGACATGCCCCAGCGGCGGGGGCCAGCCTTCCCAGGAATAGCTGATCCCAGGGTCCAGGCCCCGGACTCTGGTGCGGATGCTAACAACGCCGAGGAAAACAGCAGCTGGCGCTGGCTGAGTGTGAATGAAGTGCCAGGCGTCGTTCTAAGTGCTCACCATGTATTGATTAATCCTCAGATCAACCCGCAGGAGGCTAGCACTGCCCTCCCTTTTCACAGATGAGGAGGCTGAGGTCCAGCAGGCGGCAGAGCCAGGGCACGGCCCCAGGCGTCTGACTCCAGGGCCTGCTCTTCACCTCCAGAGCTGAGTCTCAAACTGTGGGCTCAAATGCCACTCAGGCGTGGGCCTTCAGGGCTGGGACCAGGCCCAAACTCTGTAGAATCTGGGTTCTGACCTCCCCCAGGAGCTTACTGCCAAGCTGGGGCACCGGGCACACAGAAGTTTAGGGCACAGGAAGCCGTGTGGTGTGGGGCGAAGCCACGGCGTGGGTGCTGGGGTGAAGGGGCAGAGCTGGGGCCTGGGACAGGAGGGATGTGAGTGGAGGCTGAGGAGGCATCTGCCAGGCAGAGGGCAGGGGTGAGGTCCTCCCAGGCTGGGGAACAGCAGGGGCAGAGGCAGCAGTGAGAAGGGACACACACACAGAGCTGGCAAATGTGCGCTCCAGCACAGTGCAGCGGGGGTGAGTGCCAGGGATGCTGGGAGGAGAGAATGCAGAGGCCACGAGGGGCCCTGAAAGCTGGGGTGGCACGGAAGAGTTGGGGGCTTCAGAACGACCCCTCTGCCTCAGGGCTCCCGGCTCACAGCTCAGAGCACTGGTCTTTTCCAGGAGCGACCAGGACCCCTTGACAGGGGTCTCGGGGTGCCCTGGCTGCATCTCCCATTTTGAAGAGGTGCAGCAGAAAGAGCAAATCCTGCCTCTATCACTCATCAGCTGTGTGTCCCCCCGATTACACTCACCGCGTCTCATTTTGTCATTTGTGAATGGGTGATGACTGTTTCCGGAGCCTGCTGGGAACAGTACACAGCACCAGCACACGGCCTGGCCCTCGGCTCTGTTTATCACAACATCCCCAATTGTTGGCATTTATAGAGCTTTTCCTACGTGCTGGACGTGTCCTCAGTCACTTGGTCCCCACGGGCCACCAGGGCCAGCTCCAGAATTTTGTCACAGTAACAGTGACACTGCCAGCCTCACGGGGCTGACATCAGGGTAAGTGAGGCTGTAAAGGGCGCTGCACATAGCAGGCACTCAGTAAGTACTAGTTGAACATGTGCACTTGGTCCCTGTGTCAGGAATGCACAGGAACTGGGCCACAACACTGGGCCCCAGTGTCCCCTTCGATCCATTAGCAGATGGAGGCAGCTGGGTCTGGCCTGCCCTAGGGTTCGGTCAGCCAGTGTGATTCCCACAAAGACTGTGGCCGCCCCTGATAATGCCACGCTGGGAAGCTTGCACCAGCCCCTCCTGCCCACTGTCGCCCTGACACAGGGCCAGCTGGTGTTGTACCAGGGACCCAGCGATTGGCCAGAGCGCCTACCCTCCAGAGCCCCAGGTACTCACGGCAGAACCTGAGGAAGTCTGATTGTAGCTCCTTGCGTGCGTTCAGGAACATTCTCCCCTTCTCCGTGCCGACCACGAAGGCACTCTCATCATGCACGGCGACACAGGCCACCTCCGCGTTCAGCTTGGAAAGCGCTGAGCACTGCAGGGGGAGCAGGCACGTGAGCTGGAGGCAGGTCCCCCACTGCAGACACCAACGCCAACTTTAAAGGGTGGGAGGTGAGCTCCCAGCTGCCCAAAATCCTACCAGCAGCTCCAGAGGGAGGTCGCCCTTCCAGCGTTCTGGGTCTCAGAATCCGCAGTGGGAAGGAATGAAGGACGCCCCGCCCCGAGCTTGGCCAAGGTCAGGTGAAGAAGGCAAGGGGGCTGAAGGAGGCCAAAGGCACGCATGGCCTCTGCCCCTCCCTCCTCCCAGGTCCTTCTGCTCTGGGGTGGGCTTCCTGCCTCAGACCCGGCCCCAGCTCCAGGGATGATCCTGTCCTGGGCTCTCTCCGAGTCCTGGATGAGGAGGTGGGACGGGCTCCAGGAGAACCAAGACTCAGACAGATCCAGGCTTCAGTCCCACATCAGCCTCTTCCTGTAAGTCACACCCTTCACTGGGCCTCAGTTTCCAAATCTGCAGAATGGGGACAAGCAACCCAGCTCCCGGGGTTGCAATGGGCTTATTGTGGGCATTCAATGAGGCCTGGTTGGTGGGAAAGACTCTTTAAACCCCGGCATCTCATGCCGGTGCATAGCCCAAGTTGAGACTGGCAGGTCCACTACACAGGAAGTCCTGCAACCAAGATCATCAGGCCTGTGACATAGTTCACCAGGAAAACCCTGCCTCCAAAGCTCATGGCATGCAGTTGGCAACTGATAAATGCTGGTTTTAATCTGAGTTAGGTAGTGCTTTGCGGACAGTTGGGAAGTCTGGTTCCTAATCACCGTTCTGCTGCTGTGTGATCTAGGACAAGTTCCTCAACCTCCCTGGGCCATAATTGTGCCTCCAGTACCAGCTGCAGCCCAGAGTCACTATGGTGAGGAAGCTGGGGACATCTCAGGGCCAGCAGGCCTGTCCCCTGTGATCTCCTGGGGGTGGTGTTCATTTCCTGCTCCCTAAGATTAAAACAAAACCCTGCTGCTCTTTTTCCCCGCAGCAACCCTGTATAACAAACAAATGAGACAAAGAGACTCAGCTGTTTCCAAGCAGCGGCCACCAGGACTGGAGGAAAGCCTCTGCTGCATGGTCACTTCTCAGCTGAAGAAGCTGAGGCCACAGCAGGGAGTGGACTCACCCAAAGGCACAGAGAATGGGGGTAATGAGAATGGCCCAGAAAGGGGTATGGAGGCAGGGAGGTGATGAACAGAGAGCACTCTGGCCTCATATTCCCTGGAGACCGCCTGAGGACCCTGGTCCAAGCCCTGGAGGAGGTTGGAGTTAAGTCACTGCCACTGTCGCTCATGAGGGTCCCTCAGGAAACCTGTAAAAGCCTGTCTTGTTCATGCCACCAGGACAGCTACAGGTCACTGACTCCTCCCAGGAGCCTCTGAAACACCCTCTAGACCAGAACTGCCCATTAGAATTTCTGCAGTGATGGACGCGTTCTATTTCTGCAGTGTCCCACACTGTAGCCACTAGCCACATGTGGCCACTGAGCTCTCAAAATGAAGCTAGTGTGACAGAGCAACCGAACTGTTTATTTTATTCAATTTTCATGAATTACAATTTAAATGTCAACTGTCACATATGGCTAGTGGCTGCGGCATGGGCCATCGCTGCCTGCATCAGCTGGACCCCCTCCCCCAACAAGCTGGGACTGCTGTAGGCACAGGGCTGAGCTCGTGGGACCCCCTCCTCATGAGGGCCACTAAGCACAGGGGAGGGGCTGCACCCACCCGGCCTCCCAGGGGGTGCCTGCTGCCTCCGCCCCAGACCCCACCTAAGCAGCCCTTGAGCTGCCAACGGCAGGAACAACTTGGAGGGAGGCCCTTTGTCCTTGGGGTACTGGAGACGCTGCCCCTGGGAGGTCACTTTAAAAACTGGCTGTGCTGCATACAGATGGCCAAAAGGCACATGAAAAGATGCTCAACATCGCTGATTACTAGAGAAACGTAAATCAAAACTATAATGAGGCATCACCTCACACCAGTCAGAATGGCCATCATCAAAAAGCCTACAAACAACACATACTGCAGAGGGGGCGGCCTCAGCTCCTGCACTGCGGGTGCGAACGGAAACTCTGCAGCCACTATGGACAACAGAGTGGAGGTGCTTTAAAAACTAGAAACAGAGTTGCCATGGGATCCAGCAATCCCACTCCCCGGCATATATTTGAAAAAGATGAAAACTCTGCTTTGAAAAGATACGTGCACCCCGGTGGTCACAGCTGCACTATTTACAACAGACACGATGTGGAAGCAACCTAAACGTCCACCGACAGATGGCTGGATAAAAAAGTTGTGATGTGTACACACACACACAACTGATACTACTCGGCCATAAAAAAGAATGAAATAATGTCATTTAAAGCAACATAGAAGGACCTAGATATTATTATACTAAGTGAAGTAAGTCAGACAGACGAAGACAAATATCATACGATACACTTACATGTGGAATCTAAAAAAAAATGATACAAACGAACTTATTTACAAAACAGAAATAGACTCACAGACATAGAAAACAAATTTATGGTTACCAAAAAGGAAAGGACGGGGAGGAGTAAATTAAGAGTTCGGGATTAACATATACACACAAATATACATATAAAATAGATAACAAGGACCCACTGCATAGCACAGGGAACTATACTCAATATTTTGTAGTGACCTATAATGGAAAAGAACCTGAAAAAGAAAGAATACATATGTATATGTACAACTGAATCACTTTGCAATTTTGTAAATCAACTACACATCAATAAAAAATAAACACAATAAATTTTTTTTAAAAAGAAGAGTTACAGCAGGGTAGAGGTAATTACATTAAAAAAAAAACAACCCAAAAAACTGGTCATGCTGTGTGACATTAGGCAAGGAACTGCCCTCTCTGAAGTTCAGCGTCACCATAGTAAAATGCAGGGGTGCAGCCAACTGATGCCAGACAGATTTTTTTCTTAACACCTGCCTACCTTCCAACAAGAACTGGCCCCAGGAAAAGGCTAGAGGAAAATAACATTACTATTATTTTCTCATTTGGGATAAACTGCTATAGGTTTAGGTATGCAGGCAACGGTCCCAGAGGAGTGATGCAGTTACAGCCCTCGCTTTAACAACAGGGATTACAGCTTTCTCATGAATCACTGCCCGCACATTATCCTCCAGGCGATCTGCTGGGAGGGAGACTTGTGACCATCCCAGGGACGGGCCTTGAACTGCAAGAGGTGATGAAATGCGGACAAGGGGTGCAGGGGTGAGGGACGAGGGCCAGAGCCCAGGGTTGAATTTGATACACTTGATCTTCAACCCACCCACAACGTCAGCAGAGGCCCTGTAACAGATGGGGACACTGAGGCCCAGGTCGGGGTCGGGGGGGTGCTCCTGTGAGTGGCAGAGGCGGGACCTGAGCTTCTGACATCCCATCTGATATCTGATTAACGAGGTGGGTGTCCCACCCTTCCAGGGGCGGGCGGGGGCACTCACCATGGAATCTAAGGCAGACACGAGGCTGGTGATGATCTCATCTTTGCGGGCAAAGGCGGAGTTCCAGCGGTCAGGCCCGCAGCCGTTGGTGGGGACGTCACAGCGCTTCCCCAGCAAGGCCATGGTCAACTGGATGGAGGAGGGAGGAGGCAGAGGTGGGTATGTGCCACACATGGCGGCTACCACCCTCCACCCCAGAACCCGCCTGGACCCCCAGCCCCCCAGGGCCACCTATACCTCCCAGGTGGGAGGAATCAAGAGGTTGCCTTCTCTTCACCGAAGAGTCTTATATGCATGATGGAATTTGAGCCTTGATGGGCCTGGACACGCAGCAGCTTACACACAGCCGGTACAGATGTGGTCACAGACGGCAGGATAACTGAGGGGCGTGCCCCAGGGCATGTCTCCCCAGGTCTGCACCCCCAGTACCATGAACACTCTGCCTGGCAGGCCCTAACTGCCAACTCTCCCCACGCACACTGCACTGGCCATGGCCCTCCCTTGCTCACACACCCTCCGTGGCTCCCTACTGCCCACATTAGCTCTTGACTCCTCAGCTTGATAGTCAAGGTTCCAGACTCTTGCTTGTCCCTTGCCCCAGCGCCTCCCACACCCCATGTTCCGGGTCCTCTAAGCATCCGCATCCCGCAAACACACTGACATCCTTCATGGCTCCCTAGCTGTCACTGGTTCCATTCTCCCTGACCCGAGTGCCCTCCCTGGCCCCTTAGCTTTTAATTGTCATCTCTGCTGGGAAGGCACCCCTGATGGCCCCACCTCTCGTCCCTTCCCACCCTGAGCTCCTCCATCCCAGCTCTGAGCAGGCCACGAGCTTCCCAGGGCGAGGCCGCTGCTCCAGATATCAGAGCTGCAGTCTACTTCCTGGCTGTCGGGACTCAGTCTAGAAGTGCAGAAAGTTATCGCCGAGCAGAAGCCACTTCACCTCCGACAAGATTTCCCCAAGACAGGACTTTGCCCCCCCGTCATGAGGCTCCTGGAGGACAGAGCTGTAGCCTCCCTCTTGCTGGGGTGTCCTCAGATCAGGGCCTCATATCAGGGCTGCCCCAGGCAGGGAACAGGCCTGCTGCCCCCGCATCACCCAGGCAGGCCTGGGCTCCCACTAGATACAAAGGTCAGCCTCCCATAGTCCTTGATCCATCCGGCCCCTCCCTTTTCTGACCCTACGAGTCGGGTCTGGGGGGGCCCCGGTGCCAGTGCCTTCCTATGGGGAAGCTGACCCTCGCCAATCCAAGCAAATGAGGGGATTGAGAGCAGAGGCAGGGACCCTCAGTTTCACTCCCTGGACTCAGACCCTCTAGTGCTCTGCGCACAGGCCCCAGACGGCCAGTTCAAGGGAGGAAGCAGGGAACAGAGCTGCAGGCAACAGAGGGAGCCTGTGAATCCTGTCCTCCCTGCTTCCTGCACATGGGGGGTGACAGCTCTGGACCATAAGCTCTGTGAGGGCAGGGACCAGTCTGCCTATCGCTGCAGCGCCCCCAGGGTCCAGCTCGGTGTGGTCTAAGCCACTGACTGTGGCCTTTTAGTGGATCAAGAAATCGATGACACAGAACAGCAAATATCAGGGTGCATCACACACAAGGTGAGAAGCCTGCAACTTCAGTTATAGAAACGTTCAAAGGAATAAGGGATGCGCCAGAGCTCAGCTCTGCACTCCGTCCTGGCCCAAGTTTGCTATTTGGCTGCAGATAAATATTGATCTTAACAACTGGCCAAGTCAGCAGTTGCCCGAAATGTGTATGGGGTTCACCTCTAAATGTTTATAAAATGTATTTCTCCTCCCAGGCTGCAATGTTACACACGTTTGAAATCCACAGCGTTCAGGGATGCTGAGGGTATGGCAGGGTGCAACGGGACATACTGATGCACCAAGAGCAGTGAGGGGCCTGAAGCTCAACCACAGGTCTGCTGTGTGACCGACCAGCTGAGAGGTGCGCCTGCCCGGGCACGTCTTGCCCCTCTCCCCTCGGCCACCCCCTGCTCCCTAGCCCCTCGAGCCATTCCCAGAAAGGCCTCAGGCTGCCAGCCTCCCAGCCGCTGGAGCCCAAATCAAATCAGCGCAAAGCAGGAGGCACCAGACAGCACTCCAGCTCTGGCCTCCGGGTTGCCCCAGACAGCGGCCGGCTCCTTCCGGCAAAGGTCCTAATCCATTTAGGAAGAAACCAGGAACTCAGGGAGGAAGGGAGGAGGGGGCTGAGCTGCGGGCCAACCCCTGACTCCTTGTCCTGGCCATCTGGGCTCCCAGAACCCTCTATTCTGAGCCGGTGCCCAAGGAGGCTCAGCCCTGGGCAGGTGGGTATGTCTGGGTAGGAGGGCAGGAGACCCTCCCACAAACACCTGGGCCTGAGACAGGAGCAAGTTCACGTGGCTGGAGCTGCTGCAGGTGGAACAGGGGGACCGGAGCACTGCGCTGGGAGCCGGGAGCCATGAACTATGCACACGGTGAGACCCAGGACCAGGGCTGCCAGGACCACACTGGGTCAATCACCTAAGCCTCGTTTCCTCATTTGTAAGTCAGTGCTAGTTATAATCCAAACACGAGAGAGAAGAAAATCACCCAGTAAAACCAACAAACTACACAGAACAGAGAACATAGAGCATGACAGGCGGTTGACCAGGAGGCAAGTGTCCAAGAACAAACAGGAGAGAGTCCCCGGTGGGAGGGGATGCTGAGAACAGAGGCCACTGCTGTCACACACTGGCAAGCGAGGTCAGGTGGCCGGGCAAGGCCGTGCTGCTGTGTCACCCAGGAGAGCATATCAGAAATGACATCACAGGTAGTGGGTGGCTGGTTCCTGACCTGGGGCACAAGTGGCCAGGAAGCCCTCAGTGACAAGGCACTTCCTCTCACCCCCTGGTTCATGGGTGAGCAAGCCTATGACGGTTGAGAGACAACAGGGAGACTGTGAGCATCCTCTCCCTCCCCAAACACTTCTCCCAAGGCTGCCAGGGACCACACACCTGGCTTCCCTCCCACCTCCTGGCTACTCCCCATCCTGGCACTGACCACTGAACGCAGGAGGGTCCTGGGCTCTCTCCTCTTCCCTCCCTCGCTGCGAGGCAATCTCTTGGTTTAAATACCATCCATATCCTGGTGACTCTCCATTTCTCTTTCCCCCTTCTGAGATGCCACCTTCTTCACGTCTCTTCAGTGTCTAACAAGGAACTCAAATGGAGCACAGCTCCTGCTTCTGGCTCAGATGCAGGTGGATGGTGAGGCCTCATCCAGGTTCCCTTCCGTCTCACTTCTAGCACCTGGGGAGGGTCCTGCTAGCTCTCCTCCAGAATGCACCCAAGTCTGCCCACCTCTGGCCGCCTCACCATCCAAGCCACTGTCCTCGCTCGCCCACACTGGGGCAACAGCTCCTCATGGGCCTCCCTGCCCTATTCATCCCCCCACCACGGCCCCCTGCAAACAGCAGCCACATCAGTCTCATGTGGCTCTCCTGCTTAGAAGGTTCCAAGGGTTCCCACTGGAGGCAGAATGTCACCTTCCCGCACTGCAGGCCCCATGTGACCTGGACCCGTCTACCCTCTCCCCTCTATGCTGGGCTCCAGCACTGCCCTCTTTCTGTCCCTCCAACACATCGCATGTTCCCTTCTGGGGCCTCAAACTTGAGCAGAAGCTTCTGCCAGGTCCCCACCTCTTTCCACTGCCTCCTTCAGTCCATCAAGCCTCGGCCCAACTGCCAGCTCCTCCGTGTGCCTTCTTTGACCTAGAAGCCACACCAGGAGCCCCCACCTCTCGCACACTCGCCTCCATCTTTTCTTCTGTATCCTTCACAGAGGCTTAAGTGATGTGTTCACGTGCTTCCTGCCAGACTTCCCAACTAGAATGTGGCTCTTGGAGGCCAGGGCCATGCCTGTCGGGTTTATCATATTCCCAATGCCTCAAACACCTGCTTGGGTTTTCACGGACATTCAACAAATATTTGGGGGACCAATAGCAAGTGTGATGTTCAGCCACTTCGGGTGGGAGCCAGGATGTTCACAAGCTATATGCTGAGTGTCTGACAACTTTCGGCTTGCCTGGCTCTCAAAAAAAAAAGGAAGCAGCAGCAGCAGCAGCAGCAGCAACATGAGGGATTACAACTCTGGATGTACTTGGATCACAAAGGAGGAACAGTCCAGGCACTGAAAGGGAGGGAGGCTGCTTGCTCAGACAGGGGTCTGGACAGGTGCTCCCCCTAGTATTGTCCCAGGACCTGAAGCATCAGCACCACTTCGACGTTTGTCAGAGTGTCCGGGGCAGAGCATCAGCACACGTGAGCTGCCTCCCCATCATCACTCCATCATAGAGACTCACCCAAGGCCCTCAGCCAGTGGGGAATGGGGTGAGGTCTGTCCATCTGTCTCTGTCCCCATGCCTGGTCCTTTCCCATCGACATGCACCATGAGGACTGTACTCACACTTGCCAGCAACAGGAAGACCAGCTGATGGAATCCACAGCTGACACTTGGCCAGACCGACCAACTCACCCTGGTTTGCCTGGGACTTTCTGGGTTTAGCACAGAAACCACTGAGTCCCAGGCAAGCAGGACGGTTGGTCTCCCCATGACACAAGGGCCAGCAGGACCAGGAGCCCAAATGCCCCCCTCGGCCAACAAGAACAAGGACAAACACCAACAAGGAGACAACGCTATGGACATTAGGTCCTGCCTTCAGGTCCGAAATATCCAACTTCACTTAGTGAAAGATCAGACAGAGGCTTGGGGGCTCCTCAGAGGAGGGGGCGGGGTGTGTCCCAAAGAAGGCAGAGCCACTTCACCCAAGAGATCACAGAAGGGGAGGAAGCCACTCTCTTGATGTGTCTGAAGGTCACGCAGGGACCAAAGGGGATGACCTTGTTTTTGAAAGCCCCAGAAGGTGGAGCTGGGGCAGCTGGAGGGGAGATTCTTGGTCCCCAGTATTTGGGGACACTACTGTGTGACACCTGCCCCATCACTCGGCTTTCCAGCCTTGCTCTGCCCAACTGTGAGCGAGGCGGGCAGGCCGCACAGCTGCTGCCAATACCCTCTGGTCCTGCTCCCAGCTCCCTGGGCCCCGTCCCCTAGAAGCCTGGAGGTGACAGGTCTGCATTGGGCCCAGGACACTGTATTTTCCAGTTCCC